TGCTGACATTTTTAATTCTAAATGGGCAGAACACCAGGTAACGTTTTGTGGTTATTGTTGTTTCATGAAATGCAAGGAATTATTATAGGCTTGAAAGAGAGTGTTTCATTCAAGTGTCTATGAAATGCCCAATAAAATAGGTCCGTTGGCTGCCATTTCTCCAACGGCGGCATTGTTTGACTTAAAGCTTGCAAGTACATAAACAATGCAGGCATAGCTGAGAGTGAAATGCAAACATGATTTTCAATTCCCCAGCAAGTGCTGCTAGATGTTGACAGCTATCCCATGAAGGTTAAACATATGTGCTTTGCCCTGTCAGTAAAATTAAGTCTTCTAAAGACTATGTGGTACTCTCTACGACACAAGTGCGTCTGTGAGAATAAACAGAACATCCACTTCAATACATTTCTGCCTGAAGATCTCCATAAGGTACCATATTTAGAAGTCTAGTGCAACATAATAAAAAATGCGGATTGAACAATCACATGTATCAGAGCTGGCAAAGTGCTTCGGAGAGTTACCTTTGAGAAGCAGGGCTCTGATTGCTAAAGCAAGATCATTTTTCTCTCTTTTTTCTTTCTTAGTGAAGAGGCAAAGGGGAGAAAAGGCATTAAAGTCTCAGCTATGCTGCATTGTAATAGGAAAATGGGTAATGGAGTCTTACTGCCTTGCTTTAGAGCTGTGTTTCTCAATCTTGGCAATTCTAAGATAAGTGGACTTCAGCTTCCAGAATTCCCCAGCCAGCATGCAGTTGAAGTCCACATATCTTAGAATTGCCAAGATTGAGAAACACGGCTTTTAGAGAATGCCAGGATGGTAAATGGAACCCTGCATTTTAGCCACAAAACAAGTCTTCGGAATAGTTTAAGCTGAGAAAACAGTGATTGGCACACTGTCAGAATCATGATTGAGCAGAAGACTTGCACTGCACCGTGTCTCATGAGGCTTTGTTTTTCCTTCTGTGAAAAGGAGCTAGAGAAATATTTTTAACAGTGATAGAGCTGGGGGTGGGGAAACTTAAGAAAGTCATTTCTTACTTGCCTTTTTCCCATTAATCTTTTAAATTTCATGAGAAAAAACCCTTGAGGAAACTTTAAAGACAAAATTGACAGTGCACCTCCTCTATCTTCTATTTTTTGTCTAAAAGACATTCTTCTGACTCCCTTCCTTCCTTCCTTCCTTCCTTCCTTCCTTCCTTCCTTCCTTCCTTCTCTTCCCTCCCTCTCTCCCTCCTTATACTCGAATTCCCTAGGTTAATTATACATCATATGAAGTATTTTTATCTCATTCTGTATAAGTTCCCTTAGATGATAACTAGTTCTGATGTTTTGAAACAAGGATAAATATTTCTTCATTAATCCATTTACTCTATGCCACTCATGATTCCAAAATCCCTAATCATGTCTAACTCTCAGCCGTCTTTTCTAAGCTAAAGGTTCCAAATATTCTGGCCTTTTTCATAAAGAGTTTGAGCCGGCCAATTGCTTTGCTTTTTATACACATTTTCCAGTTCCATTACATTTTCTTCAAATATGACAACCAGAACTGTATGAGGCATTAAAAGTACGGATAGAGCTAAGAAATTTGGATCAAAACATTCCCAGATGTTGGCAATTTCTCTCCCTCTCCTCCTCTCCAGCCACTCAATTCATATTGGGGATTCTCAATGGCTAATATTGAATTAAAAACAAATACAAAAATGTATTTCACCCAGATGAAAAACATAATACATCAGAGGACATCACAATCATTCTCTTAACTTGATGGAATGGGCTAACATTTTGGCCCGATGCTTGGAGAAAGAGCCAGGTTTTCAAAGCCTTGTGAAAGGTTAACAGTGTCAAGATCATTTTTTGGGGGGGCGGGAGGAATGCTGTTCCATTGGGGAATGACTGCAATAGAGAAGGCCCCTTCTCTAGGTCCCTTAAAACGGCACTGTTTCATAGAGGAGATCAGAACCATGCCTACTCTGTTGGATCAATCCATTTCCTAGTATTTCTTAGCCTGGAATTTGCAGAGCATGGAATTTGTCAGCTGCTACAGTCTGTACTTTTCTGCACTGCATTGGATAGCCCTTAAGAATTAAGAAATCTCTGTCTGAAGTTCAACCCTGTGCTCTACTTTGGCTATAGTGATGTTCTGTCTGGACAATAGAATAGAATAACAGAGTTGGAAGGGACCTTGAAGGTCTTCTAGTCCAAGCCCCTGCTTAGGCAGGAAACCCTATACTACTTCAGGCAAATGGTTATCTAATCTCTTCTTAAAAACTTCCAGTGTTGGAGCATTTATAACTTCTGGAGGCAAGTTGTTCCACTGATTCATTGTTCTAACTGTCAAAAAATTTCTCCTTAGTTCTAAGTTGCTTCTCTCCTTGATTAGTTTCCACCCATTGCTTCTTGTTCTACCCTCAGGTGCTTTGGGGAATAGCTCGATTCCCTCCTCTGTGTGGCAACCCCTGAGATATCGGAACACTGCTATCATGTCACCCTTAGTCCTTCTTTTCATAAGACTAGACATATCCAGTTCCAGCAAGAATTCTTTATGTTTTAGCCTCCAGTCCCCTAATCATCTTTGTTGTTCTTCTTTGCACTTTTTCTAGAGTCTCCACATCTTTTTTACATTGTGGTGACCAAAATTGGATGTAGTATTCCAAGTGTGGCCTTACCAAGGCATTATAAAGTGGTATTAAAACTTCACGTGATCTTGATTCTATCCCTCTGTTTATGCAGCCTAAAACTGTGTTGGCTTTTTTGGCAGCTTCAGCACACTGCTGGCTCATATTTAAGTGATTGTCCACTAGAACCCTTTCACAGTTACTACTATTGATCAAAGTACCACATATACTGTACCTGTGCATTTTGTTTTTCTTGCCTAAATGTAGAACCTTACTTTTTTCACCATTGAATTTTCATTTTGTTAGCCCATTGTTCAAGTCTGTCAAGATCCTTCTGTATCTTAAGCCTATCTTCCAGAGTATTGGCTCTTCCTGCTAGCTTGCTGTCGGCTTGCAAATTTGATGAGTTCCCCATCAATCCCCTCATCCAAATCATTGATGAATATGTTGAAGAGTACTGGGCCTAAAACAGAGTCCTGGGGTACCCCACTGCATACCTCCCTCCATGTAGATGCAGTTCCATTGAGGACTACACGTTGAGTGCAGTTGGTCAGCCAGTTACGAATCCATCTGGTGGTGATTATTTTTATTATTATTTTTATTTTATTTTTTTATTTATTATTATTATTATTATTATTATTATTATTATTATTATTATTATTTCAATTTATATGCCACCTTTCTCCGGAGACTCAGGGCGGCTTACAATGCATTAAAAAAAAACATTATAAAAACGTTTAAAAATTAAAACATTAAAACCCATTCACACCATTCATGGCCAGATCTCACAAGATCGCAACAGCAAGATCAACGGCTCCAGGTCTGCTGGAAAAGCCAGGTCTTCACCGCTTTTCGGAAGGCCAATAGGGTGGGGGTGGTCGGGACCTCAGGAGGTAACTAGTTCCAGAGAGCTGGGGCAGCCACAGAGAAGGCCCTCCCCCGTGGGCCCGCCAGCCGGCATTGTTTAGCTGACGGGACCCGGAGGAGACCAACTCTGTGGGATCTTACCGGTCGCTGGGAGCTATGTGGTAGAAGGCGGTCTCAAAGATAACCTGGCCCTGAGCCTTGTAGGGCTTTAAAGGTAATAACCAACACCTTGAATTGTGCCCGGAGACCAATAGGGAGCCAGTGCAGCTCACGGAGAATTGGTATAATGTATATTTTGTGTATTGGTATATTTTTTTCCCTTTTCTGAATATGGGAATTTCATCAGCTCTTTTCCAGTCCTCTGGCAGTTCCCTGGTGCTCCAGGATCTTTGAAAGACATAGTTCAGTGGTTGAGATCACATCTGCCAGTTCCTTCAGAACCTTGGGATGTAATCCATCTGGTTCTGGTGATTTAAACTCATCTAGGGTAGACAGGTGCTCACTTACCAGTGGTGGGTTGTCCCCGGTTCAGACTGGTTCTATAGAACCAGTAGTAAAACCGGTGGGAGGCTCCGCCCATTGACCCTGACGTCATTAGAAGCAATCTGTGCATGCGCAAAAGCAAGGCACATGTGCGAGCGAAGTGAGAATGTGCGCGCAATCCCATTGCGAACCAGTAGTAAAGGTAAGTAGAACCTACCCGTCACTTACCATTCTCTTCCCTATTTTAGCGATGGCTACAATGTGATGGCCTACATGATGACTGCCACCTTTGAAAAATACTTGCAGCCTGTAACTCAGACCCCATCAGTAGATATGTGAAAGCAGGGGGCTTTTTTTCCTCTCCACTGTGCATCTTTTCAAAAATTGCCAAGCTGTCCATTCCTCCAGTTCAGATATTGTTCAGGAGCTCTTCACAATATTTTTTTTTAACTACTCGATTCATTTGGCATTGTCCACAAACTTGGCTAGCTCACTGCTTGCTCTCCAAGCAAAATAATTTTAAAACAAGCTAAAGATCCCTAACACAGGTTCCTGAGGGACTCCACTTCTTCCTTCCTTCCTTCCATTGAGAAAATTGCTCAATTATTCTTACTCTTTGCTTTTTGTTTAACCAATCAGCTATTTATAAAAGGCTGACAATTTTGTTCCCTGACTGCTCAGTTTGCTTAAGAGCTTTGCACAAGACACCTTATCAACAGATTTTTTGAAAAAAAACAAGTACGGTATATAATGTCACTTTCATCCATGTGCTTTCGACACTCTATCCTACAGACCCAGGGAAGCTTGAATAAAAATAATAAATCTCAGAAAAAATATGCATCTGGAAAACAGCAGCACACTAGACACCTCAAAACCCCGAAGAAATTGGGGTTGTCTTGACAACCAAAAGCTGATGTTATTTGCAGTCTGTTGTTTTTAAAAACAGCATAGAAAGCAAAAATGCGTTTAATGTCTAATTTTGCATTGGATGTTTTTCTTCTCTTGCTTTGCAATAATTTTGTTCAGACAAATACAATGTAATTCAGTTTGCTTTTTATTTAGCTGAACACATCTGTAGTTAGTAACAGGCACTGATATTAAATCAAATGAAGGCAAATGTGTAATTATATTGCAGTTATTTCTATTGATTGTAACTCTCTCATAATATTGCAATTATTAAAAAAAGTTTAACTGTCAAAAAAAATCCTCCTTGGAAATAAACTCTGATCAACATCCAGAGACATATTAAATGACTGTGATACTCCATTATCCATTAATGTGATACTACATTAAATGACTGTATGAGATACTCCATTTGGAATTGCTTACTAACATAGATATAGTCTCTTAAAAAAACTTTTTGAAACAAAATCGCAGTGTTAAATATATTGGGGGAAACCCACAAATTTCTAGTGCAATTTATGCAAAAGTTAAGTATATCAATATTAAAAGGGGAATTATATACTATATATGTATATATATATATATGTATATTGATATAAGATTGTCAGGCATTTATATATTGCTGGATTACACTTCTGATTAAGAGGAATGAAGAATTCAAATAGAATGAATACATGCTGTAGGAATGCACTTTCACTTCTGAATAGTTTGGTCACAATGCCTCTCGTATGCAGAATTTTTCCAGGTTCTACATGGCTGTGAAATCTACTATGTATTGCAGGGTGCCCAATGTGATGGATGCAACGTCCCCATCCTGTTCAGTGGGAAATTTTCACATACAAAACCCTCCTGAAATGAAACATAACTGCCCACAGGCAGAGCTGATATTTGTTTTACACAGAAGAAATCCATTCAGAATCACATTCATTGCCTTTTATCACTCAAGTCAATATTTTTAAAAATCTCAAACAAAAATTCCAACATGGCATCAAATCGTCTGATGTCACCAGCTAAAAATGGAATAATTTGTTCCACTTTTAGAACTGTTCTCATATGTCTAATCCAAGCACATTACATGGAACATTCAAACCACACAGAAATGACCAGGTGATGTTAATAATCCTTCGTGCAGCTGATGAATGTTAAAAATAAAACAGAGACAATTAAAATTATAGTCTGATGGGCACTGTTGATGTTCAGTAGGATTATTTCATATTGTTGGACAATTCCTAGGTGATGTATATATATTCCACATTTGGACATTGATTTGTGTGGCTATGCAGACTTAAACACCTATAGCAAACAAGGAAATTAAGATTCATATTGCTAATGGGAACTGTGATTTTTGTGTGTGAGTAATATACGCTTACAAATAATCCATGGATACACTTTTCAAAATAGTCTTCTCTGTAACATTGTGCAGACCCAGAATAAAAATATATCTTCCCGGGATAATATATTGGGCTACTTAAATACATATCTTACTATCCTAGCCCCTCTCTTATTTTATTATATATTCTTTGAACTTTCACTTGATCATCTTGCAATATGCCAAGCCATCTCTCACCCTACACTCTTAAATACAGTAGTCTGGTGCATAGATCTATATGATCATCTATTTCTATGAACTACTCAGATTACAATATATATATCCTTATATCTCCCTTTGGCCATTTAAAACATGATTGTTTTTATTAAGCAAACAATATTTTTCTTTATTCTTTTAAATGTATTCTCTCTTAAAATAAATCTAACATAAAACATATATATATATCTATATACATTAATGATCAACTTAAGGCCGCATGGAACAGAAGCAAGCAAGTTATCCTAAGCACCTATACAGACATTCCATTGTAAGTTTGCTTGATCTGCTTACCCCACCCATCACCTATGTTGCCTTCCATAATAGTTGTGAAGCAACATGGCACCTCACAGGAACAGTCCGGTCTTTCAAGAGATGGCATGTCTGCCTCAGGAAGCAAATCTGGCTTTTCTGAAAGGGAAGCAACTTGCCAAGGTTGTGGAGAACTACATGAGGGGATTCTTTTGGGTTAGAATATCTTTGCTGACTTCGGATATGGTGCAACCTGACCTGGACCACAGGGTGCATGTTTGGAAGGAGGAATGCCAGTCTTGGCACATGAGCAAAATAGTACATGCAACTTTCTCGACTAGGAAAGAATAGAATCCCCTCCTCGTTTTGAACATTATGTTGGAACTAGATAAGGAAGTAAGAGATCCTATTTCCCTTTGTGTGTTCCTCAACATAGTTTGCCCTATGTCAGTCGGGGAAAACATAGAAGATATTCTCCCATCAACCCCGATCACTGACTATTCTGGCTGGGTCTAATGAGAGTTGTAGACCATCAGTTTCTGCGGTGCACAGACACACCCTAACCATACCATGTTATTTTCAATTTAGACACTAAGACAAGATATGCATCTTACTGATCTCATAGTTTTATGTCTAGACATGTATCTTATCACTCCACCAATTGAGGGGGAAAAATGTTGTTCCATGATGGGAAGGTACACATGAAAAAAAAATCTACAATAGATCTTAACATATATTACCTTTGATTACTACTATTACTTCATTACTACACTACGGCTGTAATCCTACATCTGAAAGTAAGTCCAAACAGACTTGGTAGGATTGACTTCAGAACATAAACTATAAGACTGCACTATACAGATAGTCCTCGACCTACGACTATTATTGAACCCAAAATTTCTTTTGCTAAATGAGAGTTGTTAAGTGAATTTTACTCTACTGTACACCTTTCTTGCCACAGTTGTTAAGTGATTCACTGCAGTTGTTAAGTTAGTAACACAGTTAGGTGAAACCCATTGACTTTGCTTGTCAGAAGGTTGCAAAAAGTGGTCACATGACCACTGGACACTGCAGCCGTCATAAATAAGGATCAGTTGCCAAGCATTTTAATTTTGATCACATGATTATGGGGATCATAAGTGTGAAACATGGTCATAAGTCACTTTTTTCAACACTGTTGTAAACTTTGAATGGTCCTAAATGAACTGTTGTAACTCGAGGACTACCTGTAGTTTCACAAGAACTTGATTTCCTTTTATTTGAAAGGACAAAACAAAACTAAAGCTCATTTTGCAAGAAGCTGAGGTGGATAAAGGAATATTCTCAACATCAATAAAACAAAATAGGCTGATGCAGACACTATTAGGCAGAAAACTCAACTGCCTAATTGTTCTGTATCAACAGTTATTAATTAAGTAAGGGACCTAACAACGATAAGGAAGTAAAAATCCCATTTTCATTTTTTGTTGAGGTACAGCCTCCTCACGGTAATTTGTTTCTCAAATCAATTGTGTATGCTAAAAATATCTTTTCCAGTGCATTTGCACATAATGTGTATAAGTATACTGTCAAAAGCTGTACTTTTCAGTAATTCACTCCTGCATTTTCAGTACTAGCTCTTGTCACATGAAGTTCACACTTACTTTGTGCTGGGATAGTCACAGCACATCAAGAATGGAAATTACAAACTTTGAGGATTCCATAGGTTAGGAAAAGGCGATGAATTGCATAGATGGGGAAGAGTTTAGCTTATAATTGGATTGTAACTTTAAAAGCAGTTAGTAAGAGAAAGTTAACAGGCAAAGAGGATACTGCAATGGATTTTACAGTTCCCTCTAAAAGAGACAGTTTCTCCAGGACAATGAGCCAAGCAGAATGCAGGAAAGTGTCTTTTCAATGCAAGCTCACAGTCTAGATTGAAGAAAACATGGGATCTGTATTTGAAAAAATAAGATCATTCTTGCACCATTTAATAGTCATGCCTTCTCCACTGAGAGCTGATTGTAGATGGGGATGAGGGTCATGGATCTATGCAAATCTTCAATAACTCTTTAACTATGAAATTATGCATGGCATAGATAAAGTAGACAAGGAAAAGCTCTTTTCCTCTTCCCAAAATGCTAGAGCCAAATTGAATACATTGGAAGAATCAGGACTGACCAAAGGACTTTTTTTTTTTTTTACACAACCCGTAATTACACTTTGGAATTCAGTACCATGAGATGTGGTGCTGGCTACCAGCTTGGCTGGCTTAAAAAAAAACAAAGGTTGGATCAATTCATGGAAGTCTTGGGGATCATGGAATTGATAGCGGTGTGACCTCCCTGAATCTGTTGGGAGACAAATGAGCTTCCTTATGTAGTAGGTTGGCCAGAGAACATTCTGCTGAACTAGATGGGGCAAACGGGTCTGATCTAGCAGGGTACTGCTTATATTCTTAACTACAATTTAAAAGAGACTGAATAGGTAATGTCTTTTATCAAATTGCTTAATTGTCTTGAACACTTCTTTTAAACACATTCTAGGTAAAGTGAAGAAACATTAGAAAGTAGGAAGAGGGTTGAAGTGGAGATGGAAAGATGTTAAAGCTGGTCATGAAATGCCAAGAAATCTGCTTTCGTGTTATTTGGAGAACAGCCCTACTTTTGACTGTGAGAGTCAATGCTAATTGAGTGAACAAAACAGTTTTGTAAGGAAATCTATGCTTTAAAACCAACAATTCCACTGTGATGCACTATGAGACCCGACATTTATAGTATACCAGACATATTCTGGTGACTGATATAATTAAAAATATCATTTGTAGAAAGGACACAGGCAATTTACGATGTTTGGTTTACGTGGAGGACAGCTGCTTGATTGGATTCTTCAGAATATTCCATTTCTTCACTGGTTGGCTTGCTTCTTTCCTCATAAAGTTCTTGTCTGATTTCTAATGAAGCTCTATAGTCATCATCTTCTTCAACAATTGCAAGCTCAATGTTGTTGTTGATCACCACCTCTCCTTCACTTCCCGACTCTTTTTCCAAGGAATCAGCAAAGGCTTTTCCTTCTTCTGCTGGAGAAGTAGAAAAGACCAGATCTGAAGTGAGGGTGGTCTCTTCACTGGCTGCATGCTCACTGCCAGTGGCTTCCACTGGCTTATCTTCTACTTCTATAGATGTGTCTCCATCACGGACTTTCTTCACATTGAATGTCAGGGGAGAGACCTTGAAAGATGAGCTTTTTGATGAAGACTTCTGATGGTTAGGGGTAAAAGACTTCTTGATCTTCTCTCTCCGTTCAGGAGAGACAATCTTGTTCATCTTCTTTTCAATGTTTTGGCGGGAAAATGCTTTCTTCAGGCTGTCGACCTTTTTAAGGCTTGATCTCTTGATTTTCTCAGCTCTGGACTCCTCTATTTTCTCATCCATGCTGTCTTCTGCAAGGTCATCGTGGGGCACCTCATCCTCTGAGGATAACTCCACAGTGTGCAAGGTTTCTTCCAAGGTTTTGTTCTCATCGACAGGCTCTTCCTTCCCATCAGTAATACTGGGAACAGGCTCTTTCACAAATACGCTGGCAGGGATTTCATTTTCTTCCTGTAAAGAATTGATATGTGTTTATTCAAGCTTCACAAGACACAGACTTGATAAACAAGGCACAGCCCTGAATAACATCAATATTTTTTTCTTTGGGATAATGAGGTAAAGGAAGTTGTTTTTGTGCCACAATATATTCAACCAGTAACAATCACTTACTTCCTATGGAATTGTTCTTTTATACTGCACAAAAGTAATGAGTTTATGAGCTGTCATCTACTATTAGAATAAAATACATTTTAGTCAACATTGCTATTAGAGAATAGTGCAGCTGTAATCGTGCCAATATCTTAACATCATTAAAAACAGGATGCAGGATCACTTCCAATTTCCCTATCATCCCTTCTCTTCTGGAACAGAAATCCTCTCCTCTTAGGTTGAACTTCAATCAACAATATGTCAATATAAATGTTAAACAGTTACCCAAAATTCCTTGCTTAGCTCAGGATATGAAATGAACAGATGTGGTTGGTGGACATGACTTAAACACTTGGGAACATTGTTTCCCCTGGCCATAATTTATTCTCTCAGTACTGGATTCAATTTACTCTTCTGATATGGATTCAGGATTACTTGTCTATCATGGCTTTACTCCCCAAAGAAATAATTCAGAATGGTACAAATTGCTCTTGATTTTTGCTTCTGCAACAGATGTAACACTGATTTGCCAAATTGAGTGTCAGAACTTTGAACTTGCTAAAATAAGTGCATTTTTTTGACCTGAGAAATATAACCTTTACTTTGAGATATGTGGGTTTGTGGCGAGTGAATTTCCTTATGTACTTTTTCAGATTAACTGGTTTTCCCTTCCCATGCCTGCATTGTTCAAAATAGGTTGCAAACAGAAATTTGACCTTGAAACTAATTATTAAGAACTTATGCATCTGATTTTTACAAAGACAAAACATTGACCTATCAGAACATCAATATAATGCATGGAACTTTCTCCAGTTCTGCCTCTTTAGTTATTTTGGACTACAACCTTCTATCTAGCATGGGCTGCATCAACATGTGGTATTGATGGGTGACAGCCACCAAGGACTGAAATTGCCCTCCCAGAATAGTACGGTCTATACACATCTGGAAGGTACCATCTTCTATATATCCATCCATCATCCACATATCCCTGTTGAACAACAACCAAAAATAATACTGAATACCAATATCATTTTTGAATATGTGTAGATCTCTAGGAGAGCAGTCCCAACCTTTTTTGTACCAGGGACCGGTTTTGGGGAAAACAATTTTTCCTCAGACTGCCAGTGGCTGCATGTGTGTGTGTGTGGTTTCTTATGCTACCTATATCCCGTGCAGGCACAGATAAAACTTCACTCACTTGCATGGCCCAGTTCCTAACAGGCTGCAGACAGGTACCAGTTTGCGGCCCAGGGGTTGGGAGAAATCATAGGGGTAGGCCCAGTGGTGAAATCTAAAATTGGTTACTACCAGTTCTGTGCGCGTGGCTTGGTGGGGGTGGGGTAATGTGACTGGATGGGTGTGGCCATTTTTTTTTTTTACTTTTAAAACCATTTTTTCTACAACCTCTTCGGCAAAGAGGTTGTAAAAAAATGTTTTCAAAAGGTTTTTAAAAAGCCTCTGCCGAGCCAGGCAACTCAGCTTGGATCGTCAGAGGCATTTAAAAGAAAAAAAGGGTTTTTTTCTTTTAAAAGCCTTTGATGATCCCAGCTGAGCCGCACAATCATCAGAGCCTTTTTTTTTTAACTTTTAAAAGCATTTTTTCTGCCGAAGAGGTTGTAGAAAAAATGCTTTTAAAAGTAAAAAAAAAAGCTTCTGATGATTGTGCGGCTCAACTGGGCATGGGGGGGTGGGGAGGGCAAGGATTTTTGCTACCGGTTCTCCGAATCATCCACATCCATTGCTACTGGATCGAGCGATCCGGTCCGAACCAGGAGCATTTCACTCCTGGGTAGGCCAATGCTATTTCTCTCTTCCCACCCATTTGTCATATTATTATTGATGGTGCTTTTTTGTATTTTGCAATTCTATATGTGGCTGACCAATGGCCATAAACAAGTTTTCCTTTACTTATCATTAGAACTTAAAGATAATTTAAAGAGGAAGGAAGATAAACGCCATATGAATTTGACCTTGAAACATTTGCATTCTCTTCTAATTTTTGCCACACTCGATACAATAAAACTGGGCACATTAATTTATTCTTTGTTTCTTGCTTTTTTTCTTAATAGTTTCAAGATGGAAAAAAAGCTGAGTAACACTCTGTTGCTGTCAGCTCCTTGAAGATTATAAATTAGCCAACCACTGTTGAAAAATTTTGCGGCAGAAAACAATGGAATCAATTTAGGCTTAACAATAATGGAACCTTGACATTAGGACATGAACTGCTTAGAATGCTCCTGTACATATATTGGGAGGGTCATGGATACTTGTGCCAAGATGTGAATATAGGTCAGGCACGTGGAACAATCCAGAACAGAAAAAAAATACAAATATAAAATTTAAGTGCAATCACTGAATAATGACGAAGGATGGTTAAATCGCAAACTTTCATTAATCAGCATCCTCAAATTTCCTCAATATTTTTATAGTGTTCTTATACATAAAGAGTTGAGTTTATGGGGATCTTTTTCAAACTAGCATCTTGAGTGGAGATTAGCATTAATCCCAAAGGCTCAATATTTCTATGAGAATATCCTTGGCTTTGGGAATGAATGTTTATGGGGGAAAAGACCCATCTAATAAAGTTGTCCACAGGACAGTTTAACATCATCTATTTTGCTTTAAATTGAATATTATAGAAGCAAAGCCCCACCAAGCAACAAAATAATTATTAAACAAGTTCTCTAGTACAGATAAAACTCATAAAATGTTGAAAATGAAAGATGATACAGAATCGAAATGGGAGGAAGCCATTTTGAGCCTTGATATGTTTGGGGGGAGTTGTGACAAAATAGAATATAGGAAATAAAAGGTGTATAATGGCTCTCCTCTTTCACTTAGGAATTTAAACAGGGCAATCACATTTTTTATTAAAATAAAATAAAATAACGAAGTATTCAGTATTTTGAATCTCCCTGCCACAAGGGAGGCGGTTCAAAAGAGAGCTGGCTTTTACCAAGGACCAGATATATTAAAACCATGACACTGATTTGGAGAAAATCCTGCTACTTTTAAGGAAAAATGAAGCTATAAATGGAAAGAGATGACAAATGTGAAAAGGAAATGTACTCTCCCCAAGGCCCCTGAAGGCAGGACAAGAAGCAATGGATGGAAACCATACAAGGAGGGAACAACCTAGAACTAAGGAGAAATTTCCTGAAAGAACAATCAATCAGTGGAACGACTTGCCTCCAGAAGTTGTGGGTGCTCCAACACTGGAGGCTTTTAATAAGAAGAGACTGGACAACTATTTGTCTGAAATGGTATAGGATTTCCTGCTTGAGTAGGAGGTTGGATTAGAAAACCTCAAAGGTCCCTTCCAACTCTGTTATTCAGCAAAAGATAGCAGAAATAGTAGTAATGCTTTACTAGTATGGCATGAAAAGCAACTAGAGGTAGTCTTCAACTTACGACCACAATTGAGCCCAAAATTTATGTTGCTAAGTGAGAAATTTGTTAAGTGAGTTTTGCCCCATTTTACAATTTTTCTTGCCCCGTTTGTTAAGTGAATGACTGCAGCTGTTAAATTAGTAACATGGTTGTTAAGTGAATCTGGTTTCCTTATTGACTTTTGCTTATCAGAAGGTCACAAAAGGGGATCGCGTGACCCTGGGACACTGCAACCGTCATAAATGTAAATCAGTTGTCAACAGCCGACTGTAAATCACATGACCATAGGAATGCTGCAAGTCATGAGTGAAAAATGGTCATAAGTCACTTTTTCAGTGCCGTTGTAACTTTGAACTAAGTGAACTGATGTAAGTCGAAAACTATGTGTATAATTTTTGCAGTCCAAGGAAGAAAATGCCAGGAATATGCTAAAAGGATTCTCCACCAAATAAATGGGCTACAAAAGAGTGAAGTTCTTATCTTGCTCATCTGCCTTTATGTACCTGTAAACGTAGTTCCGCGTGGCACGTTACAGAAACCATCAATGAACTAATAGTAGGCTTGCACAGCTTTGGAGCCCTAGAATTTTCCAGCAAGTTCAGGGCTATATTTGAAGTTGCTACCTGCATTATCTACTCATTCCTATACACTTCTGTCGCTCTCTTGGCTTCTGTTCATTTCCAGCCAGATAATGCTCACCAGATAAAACTCCCCCTTCATGTTGTTAGGGAAAGAACACGGAGAGAGAGTATCTTTTGACCTAGAACAAGATAGGTATGCCAAGCAAAATGTTGCAATTACTTTATTCTGTTCCCTGGGAGAAACTAATCGCAAAATGCAGCAAGTTATAATGTTGCTTTTGCCTGTTAGATAGTGCCGTTCCCTTGCCAAAAATGGTTTCTAGGAGGAAAGGTCACTGCCTCAGCTATCTCAGGGTGAGCATCTTGAATTTATTGCATCTTGTGCTTGGTTAAGCAGTTGGGCCTTTTCAGATAAAGCCAACGAAAATGCCAGGTCAGAATTTCAAATATATGTGATACACTGTAAAAGTTTTGGAACTTCTTTCATGAAGCGCCGTTTCCCCCCCCCCCCCCCAAGTAAAGAAACAACACCTATTGTTCTGGGGATCTGCTTTTCCCATAATCTGCTTGTTCTTTAAGCAACCTGCTGGGAAACGGAAATGTTTAGTTCTGCTTTCAGAAGCAAGGGTTAATAAAGAAACAGAGGACCCAAAACACAGCCATTCGGACAGCCCCGGCACTGTATTTGTTTGTCAATTTATATTTATATTCATGAATTCAGAGCTATATAAACACCTCTCCTGAGGACTCCCTGCTCTTCCCCCAGTCGTAGTCGTAGTGGATTGTAAGGAATTTTGAGAAAATTATTCTAGGAATCTCACTCAATTACTATAGTTAAACCTGTGCTCCTTGCTTGTCATCCCAGGTGAGTTGAGAGTACGTCTAGTATGC